GTAAGCTACCACGTCACATGCAGCACCTTTATCAAGCCTCAGCGCGGGCTCTTACGGATTGGTGCCGGGGGTAAGATGTGGCTGCCGGTAGAACATGCAATACGTACTTCTGTTAGACTAAGTGACTATGAGCGGTCCTACATTCCATCCATAAAAGAACGGTGTGATTACGCCTCTTCCCCACACCAAACTGGATTGGAGCCCCTAGACCTAACTTTGCGGGTGGGCGCTACGGACATCTCAGATAAGACAAAGAAATGAAAGCAAGGTATATTTTTATTGTCTATGGGCGTGCACTCGGTAACTGGTATGGTTCGTGATCCGCTATCATGTCGCAGAGTTTAGAGCAAGCGCAAGTAGATTGACGTGCTGGGTGTGCGATAAGCTTCGCTCGAAGCTAGGGTGGGTAGGCAAGAAAGCCTATGGGCCAGACGGATCGTTAGTCGGTGCCCGGAGCGGGAATTACGCGCGAGAGCAGGGCCCTCCATGTAGGAGGCACTCAGCTTGGTGTCAGACAAGCGGTCTTGCGAGCGTAGCCTGGCTGTGAATGAGGCGGATATCGTCGGATGGAACAAACGATGTAAGGAAGTGATGCCGGGTATGGCTGAAATTCCGATGATCCAAAACGCGAGAGCAGCGACTGGATTAACATATCTGTGGGTAGACGAGTTAATGCTGACTCAGCAAGACCTGAAATGAAAGACTTGTTTCACATTGCAAGGGTTGATAAATAAAAGCATGCAAATGGGATCAGATTACTAAAGAGGTGGCTCATGATGATGGACTAAACTCCCCCATCGATAAATGTAATGTTCCTGCGAATGCGACCAGAACAAAGCCTTGGTCAGGTCATGCTCACAGATAGTTATAGGCTCCGCCTTACATTCGTATTGTCTTAAAAAAACGAACAAGATTTAAAGCCAATGGTTAGATGGGGGAGCCAATGAGTCAAGTCCATTTGATATAGCCAAAGCCAGATACATCATTAAGAAGGAAGTAAAGTAAAAAATAGCGAACTCGCCTGGCGAGGTAGCGATGCAGAAGCCGCAAGGGAAATGGAAATTGAATTGTGTAAGTAGAGCATAGTTAAAATAAAGGTTAGCTTGGAGTACTTTTAAAATATTATATAAGTGCAAGTTGGATGCATAACAAAACCTACTTAAAAAAATATTTTATATGAATTATCTTTACAACAATGAT